GGAGGGAGAGGGCCCTTCCTAGAAGAGACAGCGCCGCTAAAGGCTGGAGTAGATGTGGGAGCATCTGAATTAGGCTGGAGGGTCTGGTGGCTCAGGGAGGGGGACGGTGTTGGAAGTCAGCATGCAGGAGCATGAGGGTGGAGTAGGGCCTGGAGGGGAGCGGGAATGGCGTTCCCTGTGCAAAGGCAGCGATGTTCTTCTCTGCCACACGCTAGTGAGGGAGAGGCGCTTTATTTATGGAAGGTTTGGGGAGAATTGGTATTGGCAGGGGAGCACAAAGAGATGAAATGGGAAGGGAAGAAAGATTTGCAGGGGCAATCAAAAACCACAGGCATGCCTGTAGGTTGCAGCAAGAGACTCTACAGAGCAGAGGGACAGTGTCCTTAGAGTCACTCCTTGCCCTTGTATCGAGGTGGAGGTGGTTCCCCTGTGCATCCTCCTCACCAGTCTTCTCAGGCAAGTGTTTGGTGAGGCAGGAGGGGAACCATGCACAGTCCCTGGCCCCCAGATGCAGTGTCCGTGGGAAGAACGATGGAGGACGTGGGCTTCTAAGGGCCCCTGAGAGCCTTTGTCCCCAGCAGGGCTGATTCAAAGGAGAGAGGAGTGCTTTGCCATTTCGTCCTGGGCAGGAGGAGGAGAAGAAAGCCAATTTCACTCCTCAGGTCCTGCTGACCCCTCCTCCGTTCCTCTGCTACCACAGTGCAAAGCCTCTTGTTGACACCATCTTTGCAGCACGCAGGAACGGAGCAGGACACCCCTGGGGAGAAACACTGCCTCTGGGATGGCCAGCGTGCGTCTGGCTCTTGCACAGGAGTGCAGCCAAGTGGGGAAGTTGCCACCCAGTCAGATGGGGAGGAGGCCTTGCTCTGCAGAGAACTGCCTGGGGCCAGACTGAGCTCTCTGAAAACCTTTCTTACTGTACTTTACATAGCCTATAACTTAGTGCATCTCCTGCAGCATCTCCGATCCTGGCTTTCTTTAAAGCCTCACCTAGGTGGCAGTAGTGACTCTCAGGTAGAGCTCAGACGGACATCATTCCACACTCCTCATGAGTCAAAGACACAGCTGGGGAAGCACAACCATGATAGCAGTAAGGTCTGTGTGTGAAGATGGTCCCACCCAGACAAGTCTCCCCAGCGCAGACATCTGTCAGAGCACAAGAAGCAAGGTACACCTTGCAGCAGTGAGGAGCTCCATCCCCCAGGCAGCCACCCCGCTCCACACAACACTGGCCCCAGCAGCAGAGATGAGGAGCTCCCCCTGAGCATCCAGCCTATTCCCTGTAGCACCCTTATGAGCCAGCAGGACGTGACACAGGTCTGGCCTGTGGTTGTGTGAACATCTCATCTGGAGGACACTGAGGTTACCAGTCCTTCGCCTCCTCCCAGCACAAGTCCTCTCCATCTGCCCCACAAGGACAAGGAAGGGGGGCAGTTGTTCTCCGCTGTATATAGGCACTGTTTCTACCTGCTCCTGCCAGCAGTCTTGCACTGCTGGTGGCTGTCCCCATGGCTTGTCCTCCCCATCACTTGCCCCCCCGCCTTGCTGGTGGTTAACCAACCACTCGTGAGGACAGGACCAGCTAGCCCCATGGACACACCAGGAGGGACTGCACACACATCCCTTGCTCTATGGCTGCAAGCAAAAGCAATATTGTAAATAGGAGAGGTATTTTTTGGAGGGAAGCCCCTCAGGCTTCTTTTTCTGTGGGCTTAGCCTAATATTTAGGCTTGGGAGGGGGTTACTTTATTGAGAGAGGTCCGTTTTGACTGTGGCTGCGGGGGGAGCTCCCTCAGTGCATCTCCTGCCAGGGGAGAGGAAAGAATGAATAACGAGGTGGAGGAGGAGAAAAACTAGTTGTACTCACCCAGACTCATCTGTGTCATCCTTCATTGGGGGGTGGGGGGAACCAAGAGGAGGAGACTATAAATAACCAACCCTCGACACAAAAATGTGTTGTACTTTTTTGCAGGAACTGTCTGCTCTCCTCGGTGAGTAGATGAGGGAACAGGCACGTGAGGAGAGGTACAGACCATATGTGGAGGTTCCACCTGGGGCTCTGTTTTGGGGTGGAGCACAGAAACAGCTTACATGCCCCTTCTCCCATCAGAGTTACATAGACGGCTAAACTCCATTTGGGCCTGAGTAATGAGCTTCCTTCATGGAACCAGCTGATGGGCTCTGGTGGGCTGGAGGTATGAATAAGCCTCCCCCTCAGAGCTGGCACTTCAGTGAGATGTGAGCCAGGCAGCTTCATCCTGAGATACTGCCCATCTCTCTGTCCCCTTCCTCCTTGCTTGGTGTCATAGGAAAGGCATTGGTGTGGCAGGGGACACTAGAGCAGTAGACATTCGGGCACCTCGTTGCTTTTGCTCATGGCAAAAGACATTCTCCTTGGGTTGACATGCTTTCAGCCTTTGCAGTGGAGGGTTGGTGGTGACAGGCATGGGAGTGGGACTCTCCTTGTTTGCATGTAGCTCTTTAAAATGCAAATTTCCAGTGGCGTCTGGCTGGTTCTGCCCCTGATGAGAGATACAGACCTACCGGAAGGGTTGGTTATCTTATCTTAAGCGCTTCTGATAAGGTACTGTCTGTTTCTGGTGGTCACAGGCAAGACCTGAGCAGCTGGCTGAAACGTGTCCCTTTTAGATCCTAAACGTGGGGGAGATCAGCCCCACTCTAGGGATTAGGAGATCAGAGGGGAGGCTGTATAAGCAAAACGATAAGGCGGCTTTCTTCCCCCACTGCCATTTGTCCAGATTACAGAGGATTACGCATCCCCTGTTGGGAGCAATGGTCCCTTGATGTCTTCTTATCTTACAAAATCACCGAGTAACGGACTGTTTTGTGGAGTAACGGACTGTTTTGTGGACGTAGGGGCTGTGAAGAGCAAAGGGATGATGAAACCTTGCCCCAATTCTACCTTTGGCTTCAGTCTCCTGAT